TCCATTATAGCTACTTCCCGCCACGTCTGCATCAGACAGCAACTCAAACCCGCTTGCTGACGTGTCAGCATCCCGCCGGCTGACATCAGCAGCCTTATCCGCCAGCTCAGCGAGTGCGATGCTGAGTAGGACGCACTGCTGGCAGCAGTGCAGCAGCAGAGCCTGTGCCCCTCCAACCGCAGCTAGCCTTGATTCCTGTTTTTCAGAGACCTCAACACTTGCTGCAGCAGCAGCAGCGATCCCTGCAGCACTGTCACCAGCAACAGCAGCAGCAGCAGCAGCAGCACCCACAGCACTATCACCAGCAGCATTAGCACCGTCAGCCTCATTATTGGCACTACCAGCACCACCATTATTTTGACGTTGCGGGGAGGAGCAAGGAGACGCAGGGAGAGGGAGCGAAGCAGCTTGCACCAGCAGCGCCCGGAGCAGCCGAACCAAGCCTGTAAGCACCCGAGCCTGTGACCGAACCAAGCCCCCAACAACCTGAACGTGTGCTGGGTTCACCCCTACCCCTTCCAACCCCGCTGAATCCACCCCCATTCCCTCAACCGCCTCTCTCACCCGCGCTGTTTCAGACGCCAGAATGTCAAAGAGGCAGAACAGAACGACGGCCATCACCTCCCAACCGCTCTCCACCGCTCCGGTGCCCCTCCCGCTCCTCATCCCAGCGTCGGTAGCACCTGCAGCTTCAGCAGCATTGGCAGAGGTTGTAGCATTGGCTGTAGCGCTGGCAGTGGCAGTAGCGTTAGCAGTGGCTGAAGCATCGGCAACACCTGTAGCAGCAAGAGTACTCCCCCCCTCCACATCCATCCCTTGCACCTGCGCTCCTGCTGCTACCCCTCCTGCTGTTCTCACCCGCCCTGCTGTGTCCGGCCCACTTCCTTCCCCCTCCTCCAGCATCCGTCTCTGCTCCTCTTGCTTCACCCTCTGCAACCCTCCCGTCTCCTCGCTTTCCTTCCTCCCGCACTCACTCCCTCTGCTTCCGCTCCTCCCCTCCTCTCCACTTAAACCACTCCCCTCCTCCATCCCTTTCCCAGCAGCCCAGCCACACAGCAACCCCAGCACTTCTATAATGCCACAAGCACTCCTGTACCCTTCCCCCACGGCCCTCCTCTCCCTCCCAATCCCAGCCTTGAACCCTTTCACCACACCCCCGGATCCCCTGCTGTCCCCTATATAAGCTTTTCGCTGGTTGAAACCTCCCGTAGTTCGAATCTGCGTGCTATACAGTTGTATTGTGCGGTGGAGTTGCGAGGCAGTGGTCTGTAAGAGGGAGCACAGGACGTCTAGCAGAAGCTCAGTGAAAGCAGCAGCAGATATCACTGCTGCGTGCTCATCATCACTCACTGTCCCAGGTTTTGTGACTGTAACGGGGGGAGCTTGCACTAGAGAGGGGGGCGTTGCAGTGGTGGTGACTGTAGCAGAATGTGCTTATCCAGGAAATGGGATGGGAGCGGGAGGAGCAGAAGCAGGATTAGCTTCATCACCGCCTGTACCACCTGCACTCTCTCCTTATAGTCACCCTTCACTCTGCCTGCTTCCCATGCTGCCAGCAACGACAGGAGCCGTGGCAGCAAATACGAGAAGGACACATGGCGGTCTGTGAGAGGGGCAGTAGAAGCAACCAGAATCTGAATGGCTGCTAATGCTGAAGCTATGATGCTTCCCGCTGCCACAGCTGCTGCTGCTGTTGCTGCTGCTGCTGCCACTGGCGCTGCTGCTGCTGCTGCTGCTGCTGGTGGCTTCTGTTTCCATCTTTCCACAGCTGAACCAGAGCGAGAAGCTACATCTTGAGGAAATGCAGCAGCCATCACGAGTCTCCACTCCCTCACCCACAAGCCCTGCTCCTCACGTTTGTCCCTCTCAAACCCTTCCCCCTCACCACCCTGACCATGTTCCGGCACTTGTGCAGCTTGCTCCGATCTGCTCTCCAGCGCTCCTTCTCCTATCCGCTTCCTGTCGTTGTTACAGCCACCGTCGGCATCACCATCACCATCCCCATCACCATGACCGTACCCACCAGCGTCAGTCATTTCCGCATTCTCTAACAGTTTTCCCCGACCCCCTCCTCTTCTCCTCCTCCCGCTCCTTCTCAAGCCTCCTGTTTCCCCCTGAGGAGCAGCATCAGCAGCAGCTGCAACTCCAGTATCAGAAACATCAGCAGCAACCGCAGCAGCAGCAGCAGCAGCAGCAGCAGTAGCAACACCAGCATCTGGGGCATCAGCCACAGGAGCAGGCGGGAAAGCAGCACCAGCAGTGGCAGATGAAGCGGCCGCGGCACCAGAGGAGGCAGAAAAGAGCAGACGGAAGCGGCAGGTGTGGTCCAATCCAAGCAGAACAGAGAGGGCTTGCCATGCTTGCAGGCGAGCGGGCTGGAGGGAAGAAGGGGGGATGCAGAATGAAAACAAAGGCGAATTCTGAGTTACTTTGGAGGCAGCAGAGAGCAGAAGAGAACGGCAGGTGTGGTCCACTTGAAGCAGAACGGAGAGGGATTGCCACGCCTGCAGGCGAGCGGGGTGAAGGAGGGGGCGAGGCGAGGGGTGGAATGCAAAGGAGGAGGAAGCAAACGAAGGTTAAGTCTGAGTCAACTCAATAGCCAGTAGAAAGCAGTAGAGAACGGCAGGTGTGGTCCACTCGAAGCAGAACAGAGAGCGCTTGCCACGCCTGCAGGCGAGATGGCTGGAGGAGGGGGCGAGGGGTGGAATACAGAGGAGCAGGGTGCAAGCGAAGGCAGATTATGAGTTCACTTAGAGGCAGCAGAGAGCAGAAGAGAACGGTAGATGTGGTCAAATCGAAGCAGAACAGAGAGAGCTTGCCACGCCTGCAGGCGGGCGGGCTGAAGGAGGGGGCGAGGCGAGGGGTGGAATGCAAAGGAGGAGGAAGCAAAGGAGGGCAGATTTTAAGTTTAGAGAGAGCAGAAGGGAGCGGCATGTGTGGTCCACTCGAAGCAGAACAGAGAGGGCTTGGCATGCTTCCAGGCGAGAGGGCTGGAAAGGGATGAAGGCGTTACCTGGGATGCAGGTGTTACCTGGGATACAGGTGTTACCTGGGATACAGGTGTTACCTGGGATACAGGTGTTACCTGGGATACAGGTGTTACCTGGGATACAGGTGTTACCTGGGATACAGGTGTTACCTGAGGTACAGAAGCTTGCGAGCAGGCGAAATCCGGCAGCGTGGAGAAGAAGTGGCGAGGCGAGTCAATGCCAGTCAGGAGCTGGTGTGATTGAGAGGGCAATTGTGAGGGAAAGCTACACCTACGTACACCCACCCAGGCCTTACCTGGGATACAGGCACTGGTGAGCAGGCGAAATCCAGAAGCGTGGAGAAGAAGTGGTGAGGCGAGTCGATGCCGGTCACGAGCTGGTGTGATTGAGAGGGCAGCAAAGAACAGAGGGACGGGAGCAGGGGAAAGAAATGGGTGACTACACGAGAGGAGGGAGGGAGATGGAGAACAAAGGAGAAAATTACGGGACACTGATAGAAAGACATTGCGCACATCCCATGCACAAATGGCTTTTGAGACGCCTCAATGGAGATCCCATGCACAGATGACCAGGTTGCTGCCAGCACATCTCATGCGTGAATAGGGTTGATAACCTCTACTACTCACATTCGAGAAGCCGTCTTGCAGTTGCTGCTGCACATCTGCGCACCTCGCATCCCCATCCACTCCCCCTCTCCTCCACATCTCCTGTCCACCTCTCCATCCCAGCGCAACTGCTGATCCTCTTGCAGCGTCAGTGGAAAGAAGGCGTGGCGAGCTAGGACTATATGCCTGTGCGTGTGTGGCAGTGCGACAGTGCATGCTTGCCTCTGGGGCTATGGCCCTTGCAATGAAAGGGGCGCAGTGAGTGGAACGGGACGACGCATAGACGGGAAGGCAGCAAGTGGCAGTGGCAGCTCCAACCATGGCTGGGGGGAAGTGAGCGGCAGTGGGCGCTGCAACCAGGGATAGAAAGTCTCGAGGACAGTGCGCTATCAGCTGTGATGCCACAAACCGGCTGTGCTCTGCTGAGTCACGTGTCATGGGCATGGAATCATCAAGTCTGTGTGCTGAGTCACTGTGGTCATGTGCTGAGTCAGCACCGGCATCATCCCTGTCAACTTCCATCGCTGCCACATCATCGCATCCCTGCTTCCTTCCGATTGCTTGTTTCCCCTCACCCTCTCTCCTTTCCAGCCTCTGCTCCTCCTGCCTCTTCTGCGATCCCCCTCCCATACTCGCTGTACCATACTTGCCGACTCTCACGGTACTCCCAACAGGCAGTGATCTGTCACACTTAGCTAAGTGCGAGGTAGGAGATGGGGAGGGCATTCGGCCGTTCCACACTCTCTGCAGGGCACTGCGCAAACAAGCCATGTCATGGTCTGACGCTGAGCCAGCAACGGCTCCAGAGGCCCCAGCAGCACAACCCCCCACAGCCCCACCAGCAGCACCAGTAGCAGCATCAGCATCAGCAACAGGACAAGCGGCAGTGACACCAGTTGCAGCGCCAGAATCAACACGAGCAGCACCAGCAGCAGCATCGCAAGCAGCTGCATGGCGTGTCTTTTCTGTGTTTCCTGCATGCCCCACCGTTCCTTTCACATCCTTCCCATTTGGCTGCTCCAGAATGTCGACGGGATCCTCCTGCACACGTGGCTCTCTGGGGATGTCCGTGTGGAATAGAAACATGGACACGTGGGGAGATGAAACGAATCGAAACGAATCAGAACGGATATACGAATAACGAGGACAACAGGAGGCTGCGGAAAGGAAGCAACAAGTCAATCACGTCCCCACGTTTCTCCTCCACCCCAAGGTCTCACCTTTCACCGTTTGAACATCCCATTCCTCCCCAGTCTCACCTCTCTGTCCCAGCCTTCACCATCTTTTTCTTCAACTCCCTCGCTTCTGCCTCTTCTGCCTGTCGCCTTCACTCCTCCTCTCATCCCTTCGAAACCACTCTCACCTCTCTTAATTTTGCAATTTTCACAAGATCTCAAAACCAGTCTCACCTCTCTGTACCAGCCCTTGCCATTTTCTCCTTCAACTCCCTTGCTTCAGCCCCCGCTGCCTGTCGCCTTTGCGCCTCCTCCTCTCGCTGCTTGCGAGTCTGCTCCATCTCCTCTTCCTGGAAGGAAGCACCCGCACATCCATATCCCCGCATGTCCGTGCATCAGGCGAAGGAACGGAAAGAAGGAATGGAACAAGGTTTTGAGAGATCAATAAAGGCTCGGCATTCTGAACATGGTCCAAGTCCGCTTCCTGAGTGAATCCGCATACCCCGAAATGGAAAGATGAGGAGGACTAGACTGCCATACCTTTTGCTTTAGCACTCCCTTTTAACAGAGTGTTTTGTTAATAAGGGAGCGAATGAAGGAGCAACTGAACCTGTGGACCTGAAGAGGATGTCCTTTAGGCAAAGTTGCAGCTTAAAGGAAAAGGTCAAGGCACAGCAGGGTGTAAGTTGCACATCTTACTTTGAACAAAAGCTCGGCTGTAAGACGCTCGATCTCCATGTCTTTGCTATCCATCTGTAGGTAAGTGAATGAGCAGATGAGAGAATAAGTGAAGATGACATGAAGTACATGTGAAAGAGACGGCTGCAATGACATGGAGGTTGGTGGGTAACGAAGCAAGCAAGTAACGCTGCAAGGTTGGTGGAAAGGGTAAAGAACCACAGGAAGAAGGACAAGCATGGTATTGGGGGCTTAGGGATGGAAAGCAAGTGTTTTCTGGCAAAGAAACCCTCCTCCAATCGCAATCCCACTAGCAATAACAAACCTGGGCCTTGTCTTGGTTTGGAGCAGCGTCAGCGGAATGCGAATCTCGCTGATGGAGGCACTTCAGCTGTTTCTCTGCCTGCTCGAGCAGCAAATAGTGAGCAAAAGTAAGCAAGCAGAACGCTAGCAGAAAGTAGAGCAGTACACGAGGCAAGAAGACATTGTTTTTGGCCGACAGCTAATCCAGTAGCAAGCAGGGAAATAAAATCGCCTGAAATGACTTTGAAACTGTTCTCACCTCCTGGAGCTGCCACCATCGCTCACCTCTTGCAGCTTCGCCAGCAGCGCCTCCACTGCTGCTTCCTTCTCCCTCAGCCTCTCCTTCAGACTTTCAGCTGCCCCCTCCGCCCCATCTTTCTCTCCTTGGCGCCTTTCTTTGTGCTCATCTCCGGCTTTGTACTGTTCCCCCACAGCTTGGTACTGTTCATCCATGCCTTGATAATGTTCATTCAAGGACTGCTTCTGGCGCTTGACATCTGGCGCCTTGCCATTCGCCGATTCCCATCCCCCATGACTGCTCCCAGGCTCCTCCATACTCCTCCTTTGAAAGCCACCAGATTCAGTAACGCCAGGAGCAGGAGCAGTGGCAGCAGCAGGAGCAGCAGGGGGAGGGAAGGCAGGTCAAGGCGGGAAGGGGAGAAGGAGGAGTTGGGGGAACAAGGGGAGCGGATGGGATGGTGGGTGGGGGTGGGGCGATGGGGGATGCTGCAAAGCCTGGTGCTGGAAAGAGGGCACCGAACCTGCGGTCTCCCTTCGCTCGCCCGTAGACAGCTGGAGGCGGGGCAGAAGGGTTGGTCCGAACCAGTGACCCAGGCCTGGAGGCCGCAGCTTCGGAGGACAAGCTTGGATGCTGGGCGTGGAGGGAGTGTTGAGCTGATAGGGCGTGGGAAGAAGTAGGTCCTTGGTTGATCTTGTGACGTGTCTCGTTATTAGGCCATGCAGTGCCATTCTGATGAAGAGGATGAATCCTGGAGTCTTGATTGCGGTTTTCAGAAATATGAGCTTGTTGTTGCATTAATGGTGGCTGTTGCTGGTTGTGCTGCTGCTGGTGAAAACGCGGGGCTTGCTGCTGTTTTTGGTCATGATGATAGGACGGAACTCTATGGTGCTGATGTTGCTGATATGGCTGCGCATGGTGAGGCTGCTGTAGTGAATTCCACTGTTGCTGCTGTGCATGCTGATTATGTTGTTGCTGCTGTTGCTGCTGCTGCTGCTGATGGTGAAGCTGGTTCTGCATTGGCCAATGCGGATTCTGCTGCGGCTGCTGTTGCTGCTGTTGGTGCCGCGGGTGTTGTTGCTGCTGCTGTTGCTGCTGCTGGTGCTGATGATGCGTCTGGTGCTGCTGCTGGCCTTCCTTCGCCGCCTTTTCCGCTTCCGCCTTCATCACGAGCTCCAACGCGTCGGCCATGAGATCAGGATCCCAATCATCGTCATCTCCCATCATTTCGAACTTGACGAAGAAATCCGGCACGATTCTGTCCAAACAACGTTTAAGCCCGGTCAGAAACAGAGAACGGCTAACGGAGACGTGAAAATCGCACGGAACCGATCGGATAAGTCGATTCTAGACTGATGGTCTGTCACTGAACGGCGGCGTCAGGAAAACTGGATAATGAAATGCTTCGACCGCACCGATTAAAACTTACGAAATACTGACGGCGGAGCGCGTCTAGAGACGAAGTTTCGAAGCTTACACCCGATTCCTAATCTCAAGCCAGAACAAGGCGTGACGATGACACTATCCTCGCTGGTTAGGTCTGGTAACCTCGGACAACAGCTGACGGATTTGTGTGGCTTGTCGCTGACGCTAACCTCGGGAACTCCTCACAGGATAGATTTCAGCCAAATGAAGTTGCAAAATTGCAAACCTGCTCCCTTGGAAATATCGGAGGGAAGAAATTCCCGCAATCGGTCCATTTGTACTCGTTACGTGCCCGAGGTGGAAGGTGGTGGCCTTTGAAATTGGTGCCTTGAAAATGTCCAATCTTCTTTGTGAGCAATTCCTTCACTACGTATTACACCTAGTATGCTCTTGGTGCTAGCACAGAAAATGCTCGAATAGGTGTATTTGAATATGAGCCACTCTAATATGCAAAAACATTCAAGTTGTTGAATGCTATTCCCTACGCCTATAGAGATTCATGCACTTTATAGGCATTTGTCCGCAAAAGCAGTCAAAATCATAGGCGCCGTTTGCCACAATCCTACATATCTTCGGAACAGTTTCCAGCTCCTATTGCCTTCAAAAGAGCCCGCCGCATCAAGAACCGTCCCCCTATAAGGGCGTTTGTGAGCCCAGAGAGCAGCGAAATCCGCACAGGCATAAAATGTGAAGCAATATTACTCGGATCCTGGACCGCCATGCACGATCATGTTTGCCACAATCCTAGATACCTTGGGACCAGTTTCCAGCTCCTATTGCCTTCAAAAGAGCCCGCCGCATCAAGAACCGTCCCCCTATAAGGGCGTTTGTAAGCCCAGATAACAGGAAATCCGCACAGGTATAAAATGTGAAGCAATATTACTCGGATCCTGGACCGCCATGCACGATCATGTTTGCCACAATCCTACATACCTTGGGGCCAGCTTCCAGCTCCTATTGCCTTCGAACGAGCCCGCCGCATCAAGAACCGTCCCCCTATAAGGGCGTTTGTGAGCCCAGAGAGCAGCGAAATCCGCACAGGCATAAAATGTGAAGCAATATTACTCGGATCCTGGACCGCCATGCACGATCATGTTTGCCACAATCCTAGATACCTTGGGACCAGTTTCCAGCTCCTATTGCCTTCAAACGAGCCCGCCGCATCAAGAACCGTCCCCCTATAAGGGCGTTTGTGAGCCCAGTTAGCAGCGAAATCCGCACAGGTATAAAATGTGAAGCAATATTACTCGGATCCTGGACCGCCATGCACGATCATGTTTGCCACAATCCTACATACCTTGGGACCAGTTTCCAGCTCCTATTGCCTTCAAACGAGCCCGCCGCATCAAGAACCGTCCCCCTATAAGGGCGTTTGTGAGCCCAGTTAGCAGCGAAATCCGCACAGGTATAAAATGTGAAGCAATATTACTCGGATCATGGACCGCCATGCACGATCATGTTTGCCACAATCCTACATACCTTGTGACCAGTTTCCAACTCCTATTGCCTTCGAACAAACCCGTTGCATGAAGAACCGTCCCCCTATAAGGGCGTTTGTGAGCCCAGAGAGCAGCGAAATCCGCACAGGTATAAAATGTGAAGCAATATTACTCGGATCCTGGACCGCCATGCACGATCATGTTTGCCACAATCCTACATACCTTGGGACCAGTTTCCAGCTCCTATTGCCTTCAAACGAGCCCGCCGCATCAAGAACCGTCCCCCTATAAGGGCGTTTGTGAGCCCAGTTAGCATCGAAATCCGCACAGGTATAAAATGTGAAACGATAGTACTCGGATCATGGACCGCCATGCACAATCATATTTGCCACAATCCTACATACCTTGGGACCAGTTTCCAGCTCCTATTGCCTTCGAACGAGCCCGCCGCATCAAGAACCGTCCCCCTATAAGGGCGTTTGTGAGCCCAGAGAGCAGCGAAATCCGCACAGGTATAAAATGTGAAGCAATATTACTCGGATCCTGGACCGCCATGCACGATCATGTTTGCCACAATCCTACATACCTTGGGACCAGTTTCCAGCTCCTATTGCCTTCAAAAGAGCCCGCCGCATCAAGAACCGTCCCCCTATAAGGGCGTTTGTGAGCCCAGTTAGCAGCGAAATCCGCACAGGCATAAAATGTGAAGCAATATTACTCGGATCCTGGACCGCCATGCACGATCATGTTTGCCACAATCCTACATACCTTGGGACCAGTTTCCAGCTCCTATTGCCTTCAAAAGAGCCCGCCGCATCAAGAACCGTCCCCCTATAAGGGCGTTTGTGAGCCCAGATAACAGCGAAATCCGCACAAGCATAAAATGTGAAGCAATATAACTCGGATCCTGACCCGCCATGCACGATCATGTTTGCCACAATCCTACATACCTTGGGACCAGTTTCCAGCTCCTATTGCCTTCAAAAGAGCCCGCCGCATCAAGAACCGTCCCCCTATAAGGGCGTTTGTGAGCCCAGTTAGCATCGAAATCCGCACAGGTATAAAATGTGAAACGATAGTACTCGGATCCTGGACCGCCATGCACGATCATGTTTGCCACAATCCTACATACCTTGAGACCATTTTCCAGCTCCTATTGCCTTCAAACGAGCCCGCCGCATCAAGAACCGTCCCCCTATAAGGGCGTTTGTGAGCCCAGAGAGCAGCGAAATCCGCACAGGTATAAAATGTGAAGCAATATTACTCGGATCCTGGACCGCCATGCACGATCATGTTTGCCACAATCCTACATACCTTAGGACTGGTTTCCAGCTCCTATTGCCTTCAAAAGAGCCCGCCGCATCAAGAACCGTCCCCCTATAAGGGCGTTTGTGAGCCCAGAGAGCAGCGAAATCCGCACAGGCATAAAATGTGAAGCAATATTACTCGGATCCTGGACCGCCATGCACGATCATGTTTGCCACAATCCTACATACCTTGGGACCAGTTTCCAGCTCCTATTGCCTTCAAAAGAGCCCGCCGCATTAAGAACCGTCCCCTACAAGGGCGTTTGTGAGCCCAGAGAGCAGCGAAATCCGCAGAGGCATGAAATGTGAAGCAATATTACTCGGATCCTGGACCGCCATGCACGATCATGTTTGCCACAATCCTACATACCTTGGGACCAGTTTCCAGCTCCTATTGCCTTCAAAAGAGCCCGCCGCATCAAGAACCGTCCCCTACAAGGGCGTTTGTGAGCCCAGAGAGCAGCGAAATCCGCACAGGCATAAAATGTGAAGCAATATTACTCGGATCCTGGACCGCCATGCACGATCATGTTTGCCACAATCCTACATACCTTGGGACCAGTTTCCAGCTCCTATTGCCTTCAAACGAGCCCGCCGCATCAAGAACCGTCCCCCTATAAGGGCGTTTGTGAGCCCAGTTAGCATCGAAATCCGCACAGGTATAAAATGTGAAACGATAGTACTCGGATCATGGACCGCCATGCACGATCATGTTTGCCACAATCCTAGATACCTTGGGACCAGTTTCCAGCTCCTATTGCCTTCAAACGAGCCCGCCGCATCAAGAACCGTCCCCCTATAAGGGCGTTTGTGAGCCCAGTTAGCATCGAAATCCGCACAGGTATAAAATGTGAAACGATAGTACTCGGATCCTGGACCGCCATGCACGATCATGTTTGCCACAATCCTACATACCTTGGGACCAGTTTCCAGCTCCTATTGCCTTCGAACGAGCCCGCCGCATCAAGAACCGTCCCCCTATAAGGGCGTTTGTGAGCCCAGAGAGCAGCGAAATCCGCACAGGTATAAAATGTGAAGCAATATTACTCGGATCCTGGACCGCCATGCACGATCATGTTTGCCACAATCCTACATACCTTGGGACTACTTTCCAGCTCCTATTGCCTTCAAAAGAGCCCGCCGCAT